CGACACGTAGCAACGCGAGAAACGGCTTCCTATATCTTATTTTAGCGCTAAAACTCGGATATATAAACAAAACACACAGACATATACACAAAGTGGAGCTGAAAACTCTTTATTTCAAGTTTTTCTGACTATTACAAAACGGTTTTCTCCTATCTCGAGGACATGAAAAACTATTAAAGTCTCAGAGTTTAACGCACCGTTAGTTAATTATGCGAGTTCATAAGCCCAAAGTTGAATACAAATTAGTTCATCTCTACAGCGACAACATCTATCACCAATTTAAAATTCTTACGTTACGATCCTAACGTGTATTCTAGTTTTCGAGAAATGTTGCTTTTTCCTTTTTCTCTTCGCCACGAGGATCAGTTTGTTGTTGTTTCTTCTATTTTTTGTTAATCATGGCAAAAGATCCTTTTTCAGACTTTCCGTCGTTTGGTAGTTAAGAATCCATTTGAACTCACAAATCCGTTCGTGGATTCTCCCAATAAAACGCACCCCATGGTCCGATTGGGTTAACATCTCACCAATGAAGGGATCGCGATTCCGTTGCTGCTCGACAAAGTTTTTTCATGTTTCCCGTAACCTTTGGACTACTTTTCCTTACAGTGCAACACTAATCAACATCCAAAATGTTTTAATCGCTTTTTCTTTACAATGGAACCCCGTTGATACGGTCACCAATGGGCCAAAAAAATTGGCCGTATAAACGGGTGACCATATTAACGAGGGTTTTTTTACCAAGAAAATATGTATGACCGTTTTGCCAGGAGGCCGAAAAAAAATGGCCGTAATAACGAGGTGAACGTATTACCGAGGTGGCTATAAGGCGGGGTTTCACTGTACACAGAATTCATCAACGTTGTCAAAAATTGAAAGAACTGAAATCGTCAAACTTTGTCAAAGGTAACGCGATCATCACTCTCTTACATGAATTACTCTCTCGAATCCGATTCCTCCAGCAGGAATCGAGCCCACGACCTTCCAGGTACCGGTAGGACGCTCTAACCACTGAGCTCTGAGGAACTCATAATGTGTTACAGTTCGCAAGCTCGACTGCTCGACTGGACTTCGCATCTCGGGAGTAGACTGGACACTAATCTAAACACACTAAACTACTTGCATCTCGCAAGCACCTTATAGATGTTGTGTACATTTAGATAAATTCATCAGCAAATTGTTACAAGATAAACTATTTAAATTCATCAGCAAATTGTCGAGAGATGAACTATTTAAATTTATTAGCAAATCGTCATGAGATAAACTATTTAAATTCATTGGCAAAAAGACCGTTTTAGCTCGTATGATTATTTTCCATTTCAGATCATGTGATGTTACCCCTGAGAGCTTTTAAAATGTTACCCTATCCACGTGCATACGCATGGATAATTTGTGAAAAACAAATGTCAGTTTCCTTGAGAACATCACCCGATTTAAAATGGAAAAACAAAACAAAGAAGCTAAAAAGGTCTATTACTATAAACTAAACTATTTAATAGGGTTAGGAGACACAGGTGATCAGGTTGCGAGGACATGACAAGGGATCTGTTGAGTCTGCTTATCCGTGATAGGTATGTTGCGTGGAAAAAATGTTGCAAAGGTGTCATGTATGAACCTTCGTGTACACGGGCGTGGATTGTCCCGACATTTCTTTATTTGAGGACATTGTGATTTCGTTTCTGCTACATGTTCTCGGTACAAGTCTGTGTTTGCCCATCATTTGGTCGCTGTTGACCGTCGCTGCCAAATGTCCCTGCAATTGACCCCGGGTGTCTTCTAGCAGTTTTCATTTTTGATGGGCGTTTTTACTTCATGCTTTTTTTTTCTATCTACTTTTTTTTCCTTCACTATGGTAATAACTATCATTACTGTAGTAACATGTTTCAGGACATATCTTGTTATATGCGACCGGTTAAAGGCGGGTTTACATTTTCTAGCGCTCAGACCAATGTAACCTTTGTCAAGTGTAAACTAGCGGTGATTATAGACGAGAACAGGAGCCTGTTAAGCTGCGCACCAAAATTAAGTTTCCATTTCCCAACCTAATCAAGACTGCCAGTATGATCCAGCAATATTTCGCATGGTTTATGAATATCAATTAACTCCCTTATATCCCCTTCAAATAGAAAAATAAAATATTAAAAAAATAACACTATTATATAAGATAACACGTGAGTTATTTTTACTATCATTATCGTATATATCTACAAATCACCCTAGTATTCTTAATAATCCCCTGAACTATTCTCCGATTTACGTTTTAGTGCAGAAAACCACTTTGTTTTTATTTAATTTGATATTATAAAAGCATTAACCGGAACTTTGTAATGGTTTATCCTACCTTTTGCCCCGAGGGCTAATCAACAACGTTTTACTCGGGGAGACTCCGCTCCGAGGTCCGGCCCCTAACCCTTTTATATACCATTTTTGACCAAAACGGTACCCCTTTCGTATACCTTCTATCAAATGGTACCCCTTCCACATACCCAGTTTAGAACTTGCATCCCTTAACTAACTGCCAGCGTATGAGGACGAGGCAGATGGTTTACCGGCAAGAAAAAACCTTGTTGGAAGGTTAAAGAAAACACTCTAAGGGCTTGTAAGTCTCGAATTAATTGAGTTCTCCCTGTAGTACGCGTGGGCTATTAAACGGCGGTAAACCAACACAAAGTTCAGTTAATATTTCAGTCAATATTTTTGATCAATAGAATATTTATAGTATCTTTGTAGTGGTAAAAAATTAAAGACTGAGTCTCAAAAGGTTATAATGTTAACCGTACAGGACACCAATTAAAACTTTAATTTATGCACAACAACAGACATAATTATTCGCTCAAAATATTTGTCCATTTCTGACAGGCCTAATTCTTCATCAACAGTTAGCGTTAACCACATTTGGAAGGTGTTTGTTGTTAATTTACAATTGAAGTCAATCGTACAATCGGAATGTTATCGACTGAAAAGAAGACGCACAGATGTCACGCAACGAAGCGGCGTGGTGGCTCAGCTGTTTTTGGCAGTGCAGAGCTGGAAAAATGGCCGAAGAATTCTCACGTTATGCTAGGGCGAAATAGCTGAGCTACTACCTCAAACACTTGGGAAGAACAGACAAAAATAACACTCGATAGATGACGACTGCTATATGAAGAATATATGCTACAATAACATTCTTCATATCCGAAGTGCAGGCAAATGCATAGAAGTGGGCATATTCTGAGCTTGGGAATATTTTGATTGAATAATAAAACAACTATTAGATGAGGCTGAGTATGATATGAGTAATTATGCAGATCGATCCATTAACACTATGACTGGTTGGTCGAACAAAGAATGTCCACATACCGGACAGGTATCACTGCAAGGAATTAAACACAAGATTGATTATTTTTAATGTATAACAGCGTTAATCATGAGGTCTGTATGGCGTCCATAATAAAGACCTGCGGCCACTTACATAAGACCTATTCTTACTATTCTTTCAAAACATTTTTCTGTATCTGATTGGTTCAAATCTCCCGTTAATTCTTCATAACCAGCTAGCATTGACCAAATTTGGAAGGCATTTGTGTAATCCAGCAAACAAAAAAAGGAACGACAATCAAGAAACCCTGGGGCAGGGTTTGCGTTAGCTCAGCTGTTTTGGTTGAGGTACAAAAAGATATCGGAAAATTTTACACGTTTTGAAAAGAAGAAATAGCCTAACTACGACCTGAAAACATAGGATATCCTCCAATGAAGTGAAGACAAGCTTTGAAAAAGCCTTTTGGAAGCTCGAGGCTAATCTGCCTTATGACACTAAAGAGTTTTCAACAGCAACCCTGCGATCTGTAGCACTTATCTACACCCATCGGAGAGGACCCAAATCCGCGAAGTAACTCCTTAAACACCGTAATTTTTAGGGAGTTATTATAACTCCAAAAATGGAGTAAAAATTTTAGGTACAGGATAACCCCTTTTTTGGGGTTATTTTAACTCCTAATTTAACTCCGAATTTGGGTTCATTTTTACTCCTGAAAAAGAGTTCTTTTTACTCCCAGTCTTGGAGTTAAAATTACTCCGAAATGGGGTTACTTGTACTCCTTACAGGGGTCGTTTTCACCCTTTTTGGAGTTAATTTAACTCTGAAAGTGGAGTAAAAATTTTAGGTACAGGATAACTCCTTTTTTGGGGTTATTTTAACTCCTCAAAATCTGTGGTCACTTTTACTCCTGAAAAAGAGTTCTTTAAACTCCTTTTTGGAGTTAAAATAACTCCACGAAAAATAACTCCACTGTAAGGAGTTAAATTAGCCCCACTAGAGGAGTTATTATAACTCCCTGAAAATTACAGTGAAGCCATCCACAAGTTAAAACGACGTGACGATATTGTCATCACAAAACCGGACTAAAGGTCAGGAGTAGTCATAATGGATAAGTCGGAATATCTAAGCTTGTTACGCGAGGCATACATTAATGATACAACGAAATTCAGAGTGAGCGATCCCGAGAGGCCGAAGGCTAAAGGGTACAAAACCCAAACACTACCATCCACTCCGCCTACAGAAGGAGAAGATCTGGAATCTATAGTCCGCAGAATTCTACCCAAACCTATAGCTGATTCCGTGCGCCTCACAGGCTCCTGGTTGGCTGCCCAAGACCCACAAAAAACATTTGGCTACGTGACCCCATCTCATCTCCCACACAAACGTACAACTATGGGTTGGCGAAATGGTTGGAGAAGAAATTGCAGCCGTTGGCCAACAACCGGTACACAATAACTGACACCTGTGAGTTTGCCTACGAAGTTCGGGAACTAAAAATCAACAACGAAGATATTCTTGTGTCGTGCGATGTTACCTCACTATTTGCCAACGTGCCCCTAGATGAAACCATCCAGATACTAGCCGACAAAGCCTTTATCAACAACACTTGAACCTCAGCAAAGTGGACCTTGTTGATCTTCTAAAAGCAGCCGCTAAAGACCAACTGTTCCATGGTCTCACCACTTGGGCCACTGCTCGCCAGAACAGAGCACCACAAATCGAGACCAAAGTTTACGTCAAACCTACCAACACGGGACTTTTGCTCCACAACCACAGCCATGTTGATATGCGTTGTAAACGTGGGCTGTTGAAAACCATGCTTGATCGTGCATATCGCTTATCGGCTTGCTGGTCGTATTTTTCTGTTGAGTGTGACCGATTGAGACGAATCTTTTTCTGGCTTAAATATCCGCTAAGTCTTATCATTAGTACCATCAGGGATTCTGTTGCTTTAAAGGCGGAAGACCAGCCACCGAAACCTGCCCCCGCAGAGAGCCCTCCAGTTCGTATAGTGAGTCCTGCCATTTAAAGACCAAGCTTCAGCAGATTTAGTTCGTAAAAAGCATAGAGAACTAAGCCAGAAGATTCACACAGTCGTTCAATCAGTTTTCGCTAGCCACAAGATCCAGGAGGTACTTAAAGTTCATGAGAGAAAACCACCCACTGTAAACAAACAGTGTGTAGTTTACCAATTTCAATGTGACTAGTTTGATGCAAGTTATGTAGGTTATACTCTGAGGTACTCAGCGCGTGGTTGAACACAAAAATATGTCTTCCTCCATTGGCAAATATTATAAGGATAAACACTCTACTGTCCCGAAAGATCTTGACAAACAGTTCTCTGTCCTTAAGAAGTGCAATAAGAAGTTCGATTGTTTAGGGCACGAAATGTTGCTAATTAGGGAACTATCACGTTCTCTAAGCGACCAATCGGACTCAATTCGAGCAAAACGTTTTGCGTGACTTTGCATATTTCATATATTCTAATCATCAGCCAGAAAAACTTTTTATCAGTTTACCGTCTTTATCAGCAATCAATTTGAACTTGAAAATGGCGTCAAGATGACACCTAAACGTCGTTCGCTCTTATCCGCGTTATTTTTTACTTGTTTCTGAAAAACATGGAATAACACCAAGAACAAAACTAGACTAAGAGTTTTGTTGTGTAGCTAGTTGTGAAGAATATCTCCCATACCAAGCATTCCTTTATCTCCAGAGTTTGCCGAGACACAGGCAAATGCAGACGAAAACTTAACACCGATCGAGGTAAGCATGTTTTAGCTTGTTTTAAAAGTATATTGAGTTATTTTAAATGAATATAAAAAAATTGGATTGGGCTTTCGTATGTTATCTGTCGCGGCCAATAACACCCTCCAAGATGTGCACACGGTCGATCTACATCTTTCTGTGCTGTCACAAATCTTACACTTGCAGATATGTAAGCAAATTGTTGCGGCTGGGTCCCCTGTTTTCTTGTTTCCCACCCTTTTAGATCACGTGATGAGTTTTTTGGTTGTTGTACGGAGTTACTCGATATATCAGTTGGAGCGATTCACACGAAGTAACGACGTTTTAACGCTTGACAACGAATATGTCCTTGTTTGTACGGATTGGTTTTTTTTCGTCCAAATAAACTGTTAACGCCAGTTTACAAGTGGATTTGCACCTTACACAAATGTTATTTCTGGTAAGTGATCCAAAAAACAGGGTGGAAGGCTCTGTCAATTTAAATACACAGATCAGACATAACCCAGAGCCTTGAGTAGACTTTGTAGTACATTATCCAGGTTATTATACATTATTTTTACATTGAAAGCATCTCGAAAACGAGAAAGTGGTCTATTGACCATCATACCGGCCGCTTGAAAATCACCAAACTATGCTTGGAAAATAAACATGAAAAGTCAAAGGTCTATGGTCGATCATGCTTTGACCAAAGAGGCAAGACCGCGACTAATAATTTCAAAAATCGCAAATATTTCATTGCCCTCACTTTCTTTAAATGATTTAACCGCTTATAACTAACCTGTCCGCCGGGCAATTAAAAAGAATACTTCCTAACGCAAAAAGAATATATAGACGTAAACCAGATAAGAATGCGTTAAGGAGAATTTGAAGACTTACTTACCACGTTGAATCCAATCATTAGCACATTCGATGTGGACCCTGTGCCAACATGGCAATATGACGCATCTGATCGATGGATCTATCAACTGAGAACAACATTATAATCAATTTATGGACAAATTTATTATAAGAACTAAAATGGACTCAATATCAGTAGGCCATAGACCTTCATACAATGCTACACCACCACAAGAAATGATAACAAAATGGTCATAAAAACAGCATGTTATACGACATTCAGTGTAAATAAGTTTATAGTGTGTCCTGGATAACTTAATTTTATTTTCCAGATAAGATAGTAATGTTTCTTAGGGAAAAAAACCTTAACTTTACTTTTAAAGTCTTAAGGAAAGAGCAAGACGTAAAGTTGTAAGGTAAAGCAACCCAGGCATTGATGAAACAAATGAGTAAGAGATTACGGTCAAGCCAAAAAGATGTCCCTTCAGGATCAGTGTAGCGTAGATATGGCTGACGTCACCTACCGATTGATATCAATGTGCCAACCAGAGAATTATTGGCTCTCAAAACAAAAGATTTTTTGTTTCAGAGTTTGGCACATTTAAATAACAAAAAGGTTTGTTTGTAAACAGATATCTTCCCTATAAAGCCCCGTACAAACGGACGCAACATTGTCGGCCCACAACTCCCAGGCTTCTTTACGCAATTGCATAAATTGCGTTCACTGCGACGATCACTTCTTCATTTTCATTTCATTTCCGCAGGTCATATATGATTTATTTCATATATCATTAACACTCATTTCTTTCACGGGAACATATGAACCCACAATTGACCTTCTCCCAACGTCAGTGGCTTCATAGCTCAGTTGGTAGAGTATCGCCCCGGTAATCGCGAGGTCACGGGTTCAAACCCCGTTGAAGTCCTGAAATTTTTTCAGGCTTCTTTACGCAATTGCACAAATTGCGTTCACTGCGACGATCATTTCTTCATTTTCATTTTATTTCCGCTGTTCATATATGATTTATTTCATATATCATTAACTCCCAACATTGTTGGAAGTTACATGTTGCGTCCATTTGCACATCCTGTTGCATGTTGTTTCGCAAAGTTTGAAACCGGTGAAACTTTTAGCCCCCTGCAAACAGACGCAACATTTTTGGCCAACAACTCCCAACATTGTCGGGAGTTGTTGCGTCCGTTATCACGTAGCTTAAGATTCTTAGCCTGAGAGCAAGCTATCCATTTCGAGTGTCGAGCGAACCGAGCCACGCAAGAACGCGTCCCCTCTCGCGTGCCCTCTGAAGATATTCCCGACCTTTCCCTCCCCTAACCATAAAATTCTAAATTGCACATATCCTTATATTTGCTTTTACAGTTATGGGGTACAGATAGCAATCCTTCGACTTCGCCCTAAGCGGTCAAGTAAGCTTTACTATCCTGATACGGTGGTCACGCAATCCCCTCTACGTCATTATAAGCAAATAAATAAAATTAAGTTTTTAAAGTCCCATTTGGGCTTACAAGGAGAGCCCCTGTTACAGCGTACAACTTGTATTTTTAGTACTAATTTGTTACATGTCACACTCGAAAACGATAACCAGAAAGTTTAAAGCTTTCCTAAGTCAGAGACAATATTTATAACAGTTTCCATATACGAGTATGGTAACATTTAGAAAGATCAGGCCACTCTTAGTAAATTGGCGTTGATACATATATGCGTCACTGACCAAGCGTGAGGTCAAGATGGCTGAACATTGACCGAATTGTTTTGTGTGTTCTCGGATCGAGCGAAACCGAGGTCCATTAAAAAAACACACACACACACACACACAAAAAATACAAGACCGATCTCCAGTCACCTTGACCGAACAAACTTGGTCAATGAAGAAGTTTAATAAAGGATTTATTATACGGTCACGAGAACGTTTTTCTTGCGGAGCCAACGCCATAAGGGGCGGGGGCGCTTACTTTCAGGGCTCGTACAGATTTTTGGATCCAAAATTCAAGAGTTTTTCCATACTCAACGTCATAAAATAGGTGACCAACAGAGACCTTAAAAAGCGCAGAAACCAACCTTTGCTCATGATGCCCCGCACAAGTGCAGTAGCCATGGTGCAATGGACATAAGAGAGTTCTGAAAATTTTCATTCTGTAATTGAATGTCTTGGCTACGGTCGAGATTGACTAAGATTTGACCATGGGAAAATAAATTCACTTATTAAATATTTGTTATACCTTTTTTCCACACTTTATCTCTATTTTCCAGACTTTTTCCAGGTCTGGAAAATTGCTTTGCAAATTTCAAGACTTTTTCAAGAATTTAAGGGGAACCCTGAAGGTGACAACATCCACCCTCCCTCCCCTCTATCAGCTTTAGGAACGGCCATTGCGGGGCAAAGAAGCCAAAGGTGAGGCAGAGAGGCGCAATATACAATTGACACTTGCACCAAAAGCGGCTTCGTCATGACTTTTTCTCTCAGAAATTGAGGACGTAGTGTGGCCGAGCGGCTAATGAGCAGCACTTACTATTGGGCGTTCCTGAGTTCAAGTCCCGCCCTGACCACTAGCTGGATTTGTTTCAGGGTCGTTAGTCCAACAAAGGTTGTAAATAGCCAACAGGTTTGCCTTCGTCCAGTTGGAATTCTTATAAACGCTTTCATGTTTGATTTAAATTGTTTGTTTCAGCCATTTGCTTTGCCCCACCAGCCTTTACGCTTTAATACTGCCGAGGGTAAATAAAGGAATTATTATTATTACTATCATTCATTATCATTATTATTATTACTATCATTATCATTATCAGTGTCACTGGAAATCCCGAGCGCACAAGACAGGCTCTCTTGCCTGCTCGGATAGCCAGTCAAAACATGGGATTAACTTCAACTTGCCCGCTCGCAGAAGCAGCTGTATAATAAACTTACTTCTGTTAGATATTCAAGAAACACTCAATCATAGTGACATTACGCCTTTTATGTTACTTGAAAGCTTATGTGATACAGAGAACTTACGCGCCACTAAAGATCACACTAGCTATTACCGCGGTGAAAACAACACTCAGTCGACTGTTTTATGAAAGTTAAGCACGACAAAAAAGAATTCCAACTTACCCCCAGGCAAATACAGCATTCAGCTGTTTGACATTGGTGAGATGTTCCCTCTAACTGTCCATAAATACACAGGCCACACATCGCACAATTCAAGGTGGGTGCCTTTATTAAAGGGACTGGTTCACGATAATGCGCATGTGTGAGTTCTGACAGTAGCTGATTGTTTTTCAACCAATCGGACGCGAGTTACGATGCACGCACGTAAATTTACAAAATTCAAATTAATTGTTCGCGACGCGAGAGTATTTCCGGGCATTTGGTTTGAATTTATTTATACCCATGATTTAAGTTTATTCTTTGCTACTCCTCAGATATATGTTGCAGCCGATAAGAA